GAATCGTGTAGAGGGGAGGGGGGCTTGTCGTGTCTTCATCCAGTGCCAGACGTCTTTATCATTTGGCCTGCAGCCAGCCGAGCTGAAAGAAACTCCGACACGCTGCTGTCTGCTTTATAAAATACTGTATCCTCTGTTTTTACCTTCACTGCCCAACATCAGTATGACTCACTCACTCTGCTATATGCTGCTTATCAGTTTTTTTTCCTCTTCATTCTCCGGTTTGCAGTATTTGTTGCACTTCTTTGCAAATGCATGATGATTAGCAATGAGTTTGGCTGAGGTTGGTCTCGGTGTAGGGGACACAAAAGGACATGTGCCAGTCTAAATGGAAGAGAGATAAAGGCAAAAAGCCACTCAGTCACCATTAGAATTGTCACTGCAGCCACAGGAATCATGCTTATCTTGCCTACAGAGCCACCTCCTATTGTCATACCTGTAACCTTCATTTTACGTAAGACGACTGCATTTTTAGTTTTAAGGCCCAGGGGGGTTATTTTTTTAATCTAATTGCTACTCTTATTTGAACCATGCCATCGAATCAGATGCATTACTGTTGGAAAGATACCTGTTTTTATAATGGAGCAAAACTTTGTTCATACTTTGTAGTGTTACATGTGAAAATTTGTCTTGAAAATGTCAGACAGTTCTGACCAAAGTATTCAGGGCTCATTCCTTGTAGTAATGTTAGATTTAATTGCTGTACTATCTAGGGCTGCACAATAGTAGGAAAACCTGCGATGTGCGATAATGGTACATAATTATGTAGTGTTGATGTCTTTCTGCTCTGGGTTCAGAGCAAAAAATACGAGAAAAAAACAACAACAACTAATCATTTCCATTCCAGCATGATTTTTTTTAAATATGAAGAGATCCATCCAATAGACCAAATACATGAAGGGCTCCATTTGATTGGTGAAATACTTCAAACTTCTGTCTTAGTGACAAAATGCATAAATGCAAACTTTTGAGCCAACCATTTATTGCAGTTTATGCAGTTTTTTATGATAAAATAGAATAAAAATAGCCTTTATTATTCCGCCAAGGGGAAATTCAGGTGTCACAGCAGCATCAGTACAGAGGTTCACACACTAGAAAATGCACAAAAAATGAAATTACCACTAACTATCAATGATACTACTAGTAAAACAATATAATATAAAAGATTGTGCAAGATTAAAAAGATATGTTTTGTTTTAGAGACTGTAGTTACCTATCAGAATTTGACATTAGGAATTAGAATTTGCCTATTTTCAGGGCAAAAATAATCACAACATACTATTAACTGTAAGGTATGACAGTGCAGACAAGAGACACAGATGTGCAATTACAGCAGAAATGTTATTTTAAAGTTTAAAATTAATAATAACAGAGCAACTGATTGCTTAGATTGGTAATATAAATGAGTAGTAGTGCAAATGATTGTTCAGATTAGTGATGACAATGAATAGTAACAGTACAAATGATTGTGCAGGCAGCAACAGGTGTGTAAACACTGATTTTTGGGGGCGTGGTGCTGATTATAGAGTGTGACAGCTGCTGGGAGGAAGGATCTGCGATAACGCTCCTTAACGTTATCGCGATGACGATACATTTTCGTTATATTGTGCAGCCCTAATACTATCCCTCTTAAGTCATCCTGCATATGTTTTAAACATAGATGAATTACAGTGTATTCATGTTAACTAAGACTGAAAGAAAAATCTTTAACTTTGGTTCAAACCCATTAAGCGAGATTTCAGTTACTGTGTTGATTTGCCAAACTTTCTTTGTTATTGTCTCAAAGGTACTGCTTTGACGGATCGTTATTGATTCAAATCAATATTTTAGCATTTCTATGACTTGAAATGTCCTTGCAAGATCAGTTCTAGTTCTGCTGAGTCAATAAAATGAGGTCAGTATTTTATTGTACAATGAGCCTGCTTGTTTGCTTTTCTGGTGTCCCATGAAATGAGATAAATTACAAGAATGTGTACGCAGGTGGGCAAGAGGTATAGATGGAAGGGAACGATGAAGAGAAGGAACGAGTCACGATACGGAGAAAGAGATTAGAAAAAGATGGATGAGAGAGAGACCTTGTGACGTAGGAGAGAGGGGGATGTCACATGGTGAGAGAGAGAGAGAGAGAGAAAGAGAGAGAGTCTGCAAAATATAGCATGAAGGACATTGTGGATGGGAAGCCAGTCATTTCCCTGGAGTTTGCACGGTGCAGACAGTCCTGCCTCTTTTCCTGCTACGTCAGAACTGAACTGAGCTGAGCTGAGTTGATAGAGCAGGACTACCCTGATACTGACAGGAGGAAAGAAACCCTTGAGGCTCCCTGAAGACGGCTGCTGCATCTTCTCAGTGAATCTCTGGCTCTTTTTGTTTTGCTTTTTTTTTTCACCCTGATTGTCTGATTGCCAAAGAAGATAGTAAACTGGGATGGTAAAGACAAGAGAGCTTTCGACATATCAACTTTCAAGACCTTTTGGACTTTTCTTCATTTTTTTTGAGTTGTCACATCAGGAAACAGCTGCACTCTCAAGCTGGAGTGTCTTTCAGACTGGATGAGATGGATTTAGGACTGCATCCAATATGTTCTTGTCTCAACTGAAAGGACTGAAAAACTGATTCAGGAGAAACAAGAACTCCATTGGACCTCCCAGACACGTGGATCTTCTTAGCAATCAGCTTTTGAAGTAATTTAGCATGTGCCTTCTTGAGGAAAGACTGGGACACTGACTGCAGATGTTTAAAAACCTACACTTGTTAAATGTCGTGACCTATAAATGAGAAATTGTGTTAATGAATGTGTTTCCCAGCAGAGCTGACAAACACATACCTCATCATTGCTGACTCACTACAGAGCCAAGAATGTCTAAATTACCTGCTCTAAATTTAGGTTTAAAGTGTTTTATCTTTTATTCTGCCTGTGGAAAACGATTATTAATAGAGAGAAATGGAAATGTGACAAATGTCAGATTGTTAATTCCTATTTTATTTCTCTCTTTCTTGGAAACTATTAAGAGTGGAACAACCTTGAATCCAAATATGTTCCCATCAAGTTAATCAGTAGTGACCTTAGTGGCTGCTTGAAACAATTGTCTTTGGCCTGCTTTACATCAAGGACAACACTAACTGAATCTTCTTCACCGTTCACCCTGCTTACATCTTTAGATTGGTGAAACAAGACAAGTTTATTTAGACTCACAAGAAGTCAACAGTCCGCTGGTGTTTTGGCTGGATCTCTGCTTACAATGGGAAACCTGTTGAAGCTCTCGCAGTGACCTCCCCTTCAACATGGTAGTGACTCGCCTAGAGTTGGAGCTGCGCTACCAGGGCAAGAAGCTGCGTGGTGTGACGTGGAAGCTGACTCGTTCAGAACATGGTTTCCTACCAGAGAGCTCTTGGCTCATTGCGGCACAGATCATAATACCATTCCTGATATCAGGACTTGGACTGGTCTTCGCTGGGATCGTAATGGATCTTATGCAGGTATGCAAAATAAAGAAAAATGATTATATTATTTTAGAAGGGTTGATACATGAGTAAAGGAGGTGTTTTGATACCATCTTCAGCGCAGAGGCCCAACCTACTCTATGGGTTTGAATAGAGGGCAACTAGACATTCTGTCATACTTCTTGTATGGATAACATAACCAATAGACTTCTTCAGTTTTGAACTGTTGAAATGTCTTCAAGAAACCAGTTCAGTTCTTCTTTTTGAAGAAATTTGGACTTTTCTAACCTTGACCATATGGTGGTCAGGTTTAAATGTTTATGTTACTCTGTTTATTCTGAAATTTTGTGAGGTGCACTAACCCCCCCCCCCCCCCCCCCCCAGTCTCTTTGTTTCAAGCAATGTAAGGAATGTATTTTATTGTCTGAAAAGAACATCAATTTTGGGTTCATTTTCAAAATCTAGGTTCAACTAAGGCCGGCGTCACACTACAAGATAATCATGCCGATTTTTGCCCTTCCGACAATCTTAAGGAAGTCCAGATTATCGTGATGGCTCTAAACATAATCATAGAAGATATTCCTGCTGTGGGTGGTGAGTTAAGAGTGATCTAGTCAGCTCGGAAGGACGTTGGGACCCCTCCGACCTCAAATCGGGGATATTCAACATGTTTGATTTTTTTGGCCCGATATCACAGTGGGTGTAGTGTTCAACCGAGCTCTGAGACGTGTAGCCAATCAGAAAGAGAGGTGGCGTAAACACGGAGGGGATTCCAAAATACAGGAGACAAAAAAACTGTCTTGACTCACCAGAAAGTCTGCTGGATGTTAAAAGTCCTATGGAATTGTTTTTCCTCTGGAAAAAATAGTCCACAAATGATCAACATTGTTTCTTCCTTGTTGCAAATGTTTATTTACTCTGAACTCACGTCTCTCTGGAGGTCACGTGAGATTTTTCCTCTGACATCTGAATTCTCATGAGATTTCAAGAAGTCTCACGTGATTTAATATCTGACATCTGAATGTTCATGAATGAAATATCTTTTCGTGTGTGATGTGTTGTCTCTTGAAGTGTGGCTGTACACCACACACTGTAGGACCAAACCTGGTAGATCCATGATTTTTTATCCTCACACGTGGGCTCTATCAGTCTTTGAAAATTGGCCGACTGTTTTAAAATCTTGTTGTGTGGTCTAAATTGCATAGACGTCATAATTTGCAAATAATAATAATAATCATTGGTACACTTACAGAACTGAACACATTTAAAAGTCAGGTTAGAAAACTGTTTTTGTGGCAAACAAGAAATTGAACTTGACTTTGATCTTTTGGATGAAATCTGGACTTGACACCACTGGTTCCCACTTGCTTCTCCAAAGGCACAACTATGCAGTCCACTATTTGGTTCACACTGAACCTGATATTAAGAAAAATGTAATCCTTGTCTCTTTTAAAGATTTTAAATTAAAACCAGGTCAGCTTCTGACACATCTAACTCTGTTTTTAGCAGAATTGGGCCATATCCCAAGATAGTCACACTGTATGACAGCCATCAACCTAAACTGAATGTGTATAAATACACAGACATTTTTTTTCTTTCAGCTGCTTGAACAGGATGTGAGGAAACCGTGAGGTTTTTGCACAATGTTAATAATAAAAATAATGTCATGGTAATATTACTCAAGTCAAATAAAACAGCTAAGCACTTTGTTAGATTATGTCATCAATGTAGAAACTCAGAACAGATGTTTTAGTTTCACTTTGGTTCACTTGTTTTCATTCCTTGTAAATAAACAACCAAGAAGCACGTTGAAGCAGCTGAACATGCTGGTTTTGTTTTTATGTTAGGGCAGCCACAACTGTTGCAGATCATCTGAAGTTCATGCAAGGACATGTTCTCAGAAGTAACAGCAGAATCTGCTGATGTGCAGGTTTTCTGCAGAAATTAGTTCATTTTCTTTCAGGAACAAATAAAATCATGTGTTATACTTTATTTTAAATTCAAGCATCTCTTTGTTGATCTTAGACTATGATTTCACAGCCTATATATCAGTTTTTTACTTTTCCTGCTTTGCCTTTTACATCACAGTCTGATTTTTTTTATGAACATTAAAGATTTAAACCATCTTGGACCTGGCAGAAGGAGCTTCAGCCAGAAAGCAGCAGGCTGACTGAATTATAATACTCCCTATAAACCCCCTGAACCTAAGCACTACTGTGATTGCTGAAAAGTAGCAAGCAGGCTACTGGGTTAGTTTAAGTAACTATCTTACTTTAGTGCATAAAAGGGAAACAAGTTCAAAGTGTTCCTGGTGACACCGAAGAGCTTTTTCAGAGCATTAATGTGCTGATTTTAAATCTCAAGACAATTTTCTTTCTGCTCTTCTGTTCTGTAACTGATTTATGTTTAATGTCTCGTATTTTCCAGCACTGGGAGGTGTTTAAGGTGATAACAGAGGTTTTTATTCTGGTTCCTGCTCTGGTCGGACTCAAAGGAAACCTGGAGATGACCCTGGCTGCTCGGCTCTCTACTGCTGTAAGAAGATATTTTTATTCATAATGTGGAGAGGCATCTAAAATAATTAGTTTAACTTCCTCTTATTACCACCTATTTATTGCACATGCTCACACACCGAGGCTACACCRCTCAGAGAGGGGCTTTATGATTTATTATCGAAAATCAAATTAGAAATRAACTTGTTACATCAAATCTATATCTATATTTTGTACTTGGCCTCTTCTAAAATATGCAGATCTGATGTGAATGTGTTATTATCCTGAAGTGATGCTCTGTGTTGAAGACTCAGTGGATCTGGGTTCGACTACTCCACCTAGGCTGCCTTGTCGAGCACAGATCCACTGAGAAACTTGCTGTTTCAGCAACATTTAATTTAAAAACCATACTTTTGAGGTTAAATAAATTTTCATAATTAATTTCAGTAAATTACAAGTTAAGCAGGGCGTGGAAGTTTCTCTTTTTTGTATGAAAAAATATCRAACTGTGAGACTCAAGTATCAAACCAAACTGAATCGTGATTTGTCTGTATCGTTACACCCCTAACACTTGAGTAAAAGTACAAGTATCTTGCTATAAAATTACCGTACTTTAGTAAAAGTTAGTCTCCTCTAAGAATATTACGTGAATAAAAGTCTTAAAGTATCTAATATTTTTTGTAATTAAGTATCAAAAGTAAATTTCGGACATAAAATGTACTTATGTATTGAAAGTAAAAGTATTGAGTAAAAGTGAGCGGTTAGATTGTTCTACAT